CCGTCGGTTCTCCGCATTGGGAACCGCAACGCCTGGGTCGGCCACTCCGGCCAAACCCGGACGTGCGCCCGGTGCGGGGACCCGACACACTCGGCAAACAAATGTAGTACCGTAAGGTGCTACAAATGTTTGCTTGTAGGCCACCCTTCTGGGGAATGCCCCAACAGGGTGGTTTGTACTTTGTGCGAGGAGGAGGGGCATGGCTTTAAGCTGTGTCCCAAATCCTTCGCCAGGAAAGTTCAGCCCACCAAACGGTGGGCTGATGTAGTAGTGCAGGGGAAGTCTGCTCCGGTACCATCTGTTGGAGCGGAATCCTCTCCTGCCAAATCTAGTGGGTTGGAGTCTTCTCCGTCTTCCCCCGAGTCCACGCCCGTTTTGGACGTGGCGGCGGCGGAGAAGTCCAACCCAGCTGTAACTCCCGGGTCTGATTTGTCAGACTCGGAGAGTTCCGAGTCATCGAATTTTGAATTGCCTCGAGCATCGTGCATTCAATGCTCGAGGCAGATAGGCCCTCTGAAGTCTCCGGTCGCGTGGGAATGTTTCCATTGCGACCGTGGGATTTCGAGGGCTATGCCCTTTCATGTGGCCGGCTGCGCAGACTGCACGGGTATTAACACCAAGCCCGTGGTGTCTTGCGACGCCATTGACTGCCAGGCGGCTGCAATAGATAGGGCGGTGGGTTTTTTTACCCGTTAGAGGGAAGAGGAAGATGAAGAAGAGGGCTCGTCATCCCTCTTCTGGCTCCGATTCTCCCTCTTCGGGTGCAGTCCCCAAAAAATCTCGGGGAAATGTCTCTCAGACTCATCTGAGTCTGAGATGAAAGTGGATGAGCCTACAAGCTCATCCAAAACTAGTGCTGTCCCCCGCACAACACCTTCGGGGGACACACAAAACTAGCCGGTCCGAGCCCCAGGGCCCGGATACGGACAAGCGGGTGGGGGACAGTAGTTCTCCCCCCGCTGCCACTCTAGACTCGGGTGGTAAACCGAAAGGTGATCCACCCGAGTAATATGTTCACTTCAGCACACCATGGTCAATTTGCTTTCATTGAACGTCAATGGAATGCGTGACCCCGTGAAGAGGAGACGCGTTTTTAGTCTTTGTCGGGAGTATGATATTTCCTGTCTTCAGGAGTGTCATATTTCTGGCAATGACGATTTAGTTTCTTGGCAGGCGGAGTGGAGGGGGAAGATTTTTGCCAGTTTTGGCACATCTTCTTCCTGCGGGACCGTCATCCTTCTGCCTGCCAAAAGTCCTTTTGAATTTTCTGATCTTTCCATCGATTCTGATGGAAGGATCGTTTCTGGAATTTTGCGCGGTCCGGGGGGAGGAAAGGGTGTGCGATTGTGCACAGTTTATGCCCCGACTGACCCCAGGTCGCGTCGTCTCTTCTTCACGGAGTTGTTTTTTCTTGACGGGTAGTTGTCCTGTTATTTTAACAGGAGACTTCAACTGTGTCCTGGATTTAGAGCTTGACCGCCGTGGTTCAGATTCCACATCTTGTGGGATCGGCGCCGCGGAGCTCGGTCACCTCATTTCCGACTTTTCTTTTAAGGACTGCTGGCGGTCTTTCAACCCGTCCACGCATTCTTTTACATGGCGAAATGCGGCAAACACGATCACTAGCCGGCTGGATCGTATTTACACATCCAGTTCGGTGGGTGTCGTGTCTTGCGGGCATTCGCCATGCTATTTCAGTGACCATGACTGTGTTGATTTGAAATTTAATTTCCCGGAGATTGCCGGCGCCGGTCGGGGTTTTTGGAAATGTAATGTTTCCGTCCTGGCCGACGCTGGCTTTCAAACGGATTTCAGAAAGGCTTATGCGGGCTGGCGGACTCTCAAGGAGGGGTACGGAAACGAACTCCTCTGGTGGGAGGACGTCAAGTCCCGCATTAAGCGATTTATTATTTCCTTTTCTTGCCGGTTGGTAAGAAATAGACGACGGCGCAGGGAGTCACTTGTGGCTGCCCTGCGCTCAGTCGTTTCCGCCCTCAATTCCGGGCAATGTAACCCTGAGGTTCTTGCTCGGCACGAGGAAATTAGAAACGAGCTTGCTAAACTGGACGACTTTGAAGCGGAGGGGGCTCGGATCCGCGCGCGGGTTCGTGACCTCGAGGAAGGGGAGAAGCCGTCCAGGTATTTTTACCAGCTCGAGACCTCTCAGGCTCGGAAGAAAACTATTTCTTCCGTTTATAGTCCTGGAGGGGACATTGTTTCCTCTCCGGAAGAAATCTCGACAGTTTATAGAGATTTTTATCTCGATTTGTTTTCGGCCGAGCCTGTGGAGGTTGAATCGCAGTCTCCGTTTCTGGACTCTCTGTCCAATGTTTTGGACGAAGCTAGCCGCATTGACTTGGACAGCCCACTTGGGCTGCCTGAGCTCGATGTGGCTCTACGTAGTATGGCCAACGGTAAGACTCCTGGTGGGGACGGCCTGCCCAAGGAATTCTACGTGAAGTTCTGGGATTTGGTCGGTCCCGACCTTCTCGGGGTCTTCCGTTGTGCCTTTTCTTTAAATAGTCTAGGTGATTCCCAGCGATTGGGAATCATCACACTTTTAGAGAAGGGTGGGGATCCGCTTGATCCTAGGAACAAGCGTCCTATATCCCTTCTCAATGTTGACTACAAGATCCTGTCGAAGGCCTTGTGCCTCCGCCTTGGTCGGGTGTTGCCCGACATTGTCGGTCAGTTTCAAACTTGTGGCGTCAAGGGGAGGTCCATCCATGATAATATCAGACTCCTTCGGGATCTGGTAGCATTCGTGGATGGGAAGAACCTTGACTGCCTTGTTATTTCCCTAGACCAGCAGAAGGCCTTTGACAGGGTCAATTGGGATTTTCTTTTTAAAGTCCTCGACCGTTTTGGTTTTGGACCTAATTTTAGGCACTGGATAGAGCTGTTGTACACAAACATATCCAGTGCCGTTTTAACTAATGGTTCTCTTTCAGAACCCTTTTTAGTCACGAGGGGAGTGAGGCAGGGTTGCCCCCTCTCCCCTCTTTTATACGTGCTTTTTATCGAGCCTTTTGCTCAGACTGTCATTAAAGATAGCCGTCTTGCCGGTCTGACAATCCCTGGGGCCAGTGGCCTCGAATGCAGGGTTCTGCAGTACGCAGACGATACAACCTGCATAGTTCGGGATTTCAGATCGGTGAGGCGGTTGTTTGGCATCATCGATGCATTTTCTCGTGCGAGCGGGTCTCGCCTTAACTTTGCCAAGTCGAAAGGCTTGGTTTTTGGCTCATGGCCGACTGCCTTCCCGACGAGGTCCCTATCCAGTGGACCAGAGACCCGATTAAAATCAACGGTGTCTGGGTTGGCGGTGGGGACATGGGCCCTATGAATTGGAGAGAGCGGATCCCCAATCTGCAGTCCACTTTGGACATGTGGAAAGGGAGGATGCTCTCTCTTTTAGGCAAGGTGTTGCTGGTCAACACCTTGATTTTAACTCCGTTGTTTTTCTTGGCCCCGGTTTATCCTCTGCCGGTTTCGGTAGAGAGGGTTATTAACCGGGCCATTTTTTCGTTTATTTGGTCTGGCAAGACTGAACTTGTAAAAAGGTCAGTCCTTGTCCAGACTTTAGCTAATGGTGGCCTTGGGGTCACCAATATTCGTCACAAATGTGACGCTTTCTTTGTCAGTGGGTTTAGGGTTTTGTTGAGTGACGATGGTCCTCCTTGGAGATTTTTTTCTCTGTACTGGGCGGCCTCGTCACTCCTTGGGGTTCTCCCCCGTAACATCTGGAGGAATGATACCCCACACGCCCTCCAACCCACTGGGTTTTATCGCCATTTTTGCAGGCTGGTCCTGCTTGTATCTACAATTTCGCCGGATATTGACTGGGGGCCAATTACGGTCCGACAACTGTATGACCTGTTGTCAGGTCAGCAGCCGGTCCAGTGTCCGGCGGTTAGGTGCGATGATTTTCTTCATCTTTTTAAATTGTGTCACTCCTCCAATTTGAGTAACCGCTTGCGCGACTTGAATTGGAGGGTGATATGGGGGGCCTTGAAAACTTCCCAACGTTTAGGCCATTGGGGCATTGGTGACGGCCAGTGTCCTCGGGTTGGCTGTGCCGCTCCCGAGTCACTGGGCCACGTTTTCTGGGACTGCCCTTTTGTTTACATTTGTGGGCATGGGTCGAACACATTGGTGGTAAAGCCCTAGCCCGCTATTTTTCCCTGACCCGCTCCTGCGTTTTGTATGGGTCAGGGCTAGAGACCAGGCCAGACTCTCTTCTGGTCTGGTATTTGATTAGCACGGTGAAGTGGTTGGTTTGGTGTTCGCGCTGTGAGACATTGTATGATGGCTCACGGCCGGATGCCGACCACGTGCTTCACCGTGTCAAGGCTGCGGTCAAGAACCGCATTCGTTTAGACTTCGTCCGGCTGGACCGGGCAAGTTCCGCACCATCTGGTGCGTGCGGGGAGCGGTATGTTTCATCAGAGACGACCAACTTGTCTTTAGGTTGTGATTTTGTTTTTTTGCACTATTACAGCCTTGAGACTTTCGCTCCTTGTTTATCTCGGGCCCCTTAGGTCCTTTTTTGTGGGAGCCTTTTGCTCCTTGTTTTTTGGGACCCTTTAGGTCCCCTTTTTGTGGGAGTTCTTTGCTCCTGGTTTTGGGGCCCCTTAGGCCTTTTTTACTAAGCTTGGCTTTTTGCTGGCTTTTGTTGTTTAAGGACCGTTTCGGTTCCTTAGGTCGGACCTGTGAGCGTTTTCGCTCTGTTGGTTAGGACCCTTTAGGTCCTTTTTAGTGCATGTTTGCTCGCATGAGCGTTGTTGAGTCCGGAAGTTTCATGGTATAGTTTTCTGTTTGTATATTTTCCTGCCAGTCAGTTAGGGTCGTACCCTACCATGGTAATGCGTGGGTAGCGTGGCTACACAGACTGCATGTCTTGTCTTTGTCAAGTGTCTGTTTGTTCTTGATAGTAGGTAAAAGGGTAGGGAGGCTCGTAGCCTCACTTACTAAGTGTAGTGTGACTACCCTATCCTGGGATCTTCTTTAGGAGGATCCCGAAACCAAAAAATTAGTATCTGTTCTTTTCAGCTTAATATCTGAAACGCTGTTCATTGAACAGCCAGTATATTAAACTGATTTTTGGATTTGGGCCGTGGAATAGAGGCTTGCCTCGTCCCGGCCACGGGTTGGCCCGGTATAGCAGTACATCCGGGATTCGGCCCACTCCCTTCGGGGAACATCAATTAATACAAAAACAGGTTCTGACTACGGTGCCCGTCGTTAAGGTTCGTTTTCTTTTGACGTTTTGGTGACAGGGCTTTCACATTGAATTACGGTAAATATTAGTAAGTGTGTAAAGTCTTGTTAAATTATGATGTTGGCGTTTCCATTGATTTCCGTTCAAGGTGTAAAAAAAAAAAAAAAAAAAAAAAGGCTTGGCCACGACCCCTCTGTGTCTGGTTATAAATGTATTGTTTGAGTCTCGTTGCAATATGTTTCTAGGCATCTTCTTCCTTTTCTTATTTGTTATCCCTTTTTCCCCCTTGTTTTGCTTCTGATTTGTTTGTTTCCCAGGATGAGTGCTCCTGCCACGATTGGTCGCCAGAGGGCGCCGTAACAGTTGATGGCTTCGCATGCTCATATCGCGTCCGCGCATGTCCTATAAGTTGCCTCGCCGGGCTGGGATGGCCATTGAATCATCTACACCGACTGAGAGACACAAACATGTCTGGCCGTGGCAAAGGAGGAAAGGGACTAGGCAAAGGGGGTGCCAAGCGACACCGCAAGGTTCTCCGAGATAACATCCAGGGAATCACTAAACCAGCCATTCGTCGGCTGGCCCGCCGCGGAGGAGTCAAGCGTATCTCCGGGCTCATCTACGAAGAAACCCGCGGAGTCCTCAAGGTTTTCCTGGAGAACGTTATCCGCGATGCAGTCACCTACTGCGAGCACGCCAAGAGGAGACTGTCACTGCAATGGACGTGGTGTATGCGCTGAAGAGACAGGGACGCACGCTGTACGGCTTCGGCGGCTAGACACCATATCCAAAAATCAAACCGAACGGCTCTTTTCAGAGCCACCACTATTTCAAAAAAGAGATTGAATCTTGATTTTACTCGATTTCACTTGTCCTTGTCATGTGTGTTCTTAGAGTTTTTTTCCCCTCCCTATTTCCACTGTAAAAACATGTCTGGTCTCCATTTTTTGTCAAAGTCGATTAAGTAATAATTACTGGGTGCTCGTCTCAGGATATAGCGGGGAACGTTATAGAGGGATCCGTGACATTTTGTTCGCGAATGGGTGTGTGTGATTATTGTCTTTATTACAAAACAAACATAAACAGCAGCCAGGGAAATCCGTATGTTTGTCACTTTTCTTTTAGGGGTGGGGGAGGGGGTGTTTATTGGGGTTCAATTAATCCCAAGTAGGGGGTGGGAGAAATATTGTAGTCTCAACGATCCCAAATGGATTCTGTTGCCGAGGGCTCATAATACTATAGGCTCGGAAAAGCAGCATTTTCGATTGAAATTTAACGTCTACTACTTTTCAACGTACGGAAATCGTGATCACTGAAGCGTCTCCGCTTGGCCCCCGAAGCACCAATCGGAAGATAGCCCATTGTTAGGCTTCCAACCTAGGATGCTATGCGCCGGCCTTAAGAGGCGGGGTCCGTTCGCTCAATCTGCACTCAGTTGTGATCACCGTTCATCAAACCATACCCTTGACCATGGCGCGCACCAAGCAGACGGCAAGAAAGAGCACCGGGGGAAAGCCCCCAGGAAGCAGTTGGCCACCAAGGCGGCCCGCAAGAGCGCACCGGCGACTGGCGGTGTCAAGAAACCCCATCGGTACCGACCGGGAACCGTCGCCCTCCGTGAGATTCGCCGCTACCAGAAGAGCACCGAACTGCTGATCCGAAAGCTGCCATTCCAGAGACTTGTGCGTGAAATGCACAGGATTTCAAAACTGAACTGCGATTCCAGAGTTCTGCCGTCATGGCATTGCAAGAAGCGAGCGAAGCTTACCTCGTCGGCCTCTTCGAAGACACCAACCTGTGCGCCATTCACGCCAAGAGGGTCACCATCATGCCCAAGGACATCCAGTTGGCCCGCCGATTCGGGGGTGAACGAGCTTGAGCACGTTGTGTGCGCAAAAAGAAATAAAACTAACGGCTCTTTTCAGAGCCACTACTTCTTCAAAGAGAGATTAAGTCCAATCCCTGAGTTTTCCTTCAAATAAAGAATAAAGGGCCGTTGATTTTTTTCCGAATTATTATTGTTGATATTCTGTCCAAATACATTCCACTTTTGGGTTCTATACGTATGCCTCATCCGAAACGTGTTCCAGGCAAAATTGAATTGTTATGGGCATGGTAATAATGATATATATTTCCTATCTGTTTTGACAATTACAGGTACTCGTTCTCTTATTTTCGTCGGTTTTGCGTTACATTGTATGATTCATTATAAATGGATGGTGCATAAGGGGGAAAAAACATTTAAAGAAGTATTGGTGCACTACGACATATTAATTCGCCCTCCGCTGGAGATGACTTTATTATTTCCCAGAAATTCAGTAGACAATAATATTTAAGAAGGACACTTATACACGTGTCAGTCTGAGAAAAAGGCTAAAAATACCCTTGCCGGGGAGGGGGGGGGGGGGGTCGTGCCGTGCGTGCATTGTATAAACTATGCACGCATACCGCTTTCTTCACGCATGGGTAAGCGGTCACTGGCGGGAAAGTGGACGATGCATGGGTGGTCAGAATCCAAGCTGTGCACAATAAAAGCCGGCCAAGACGTGCTGGTCTTTCATTCGATCTCACGATCCGATACATTCCAAGTCCTCCAATATGGCTCCCAAAGTTAGCGGAAAAGGTCAGAAGAAGGCCGGAAATACTAAGGGTCCGGTTAGCGCAAACAAAAAGAGGCACCGGCGTCGCAAGGAGAGCTACGGCATCTACATCTACAAAGTGATGAAACAGGTGCACCCCGACACCGAATCTCGAGCAAGGCAATGAGCATCATGAACAGCTTTGTCAACGACGTGTTTGAGCGCATCGCCAGCGAATCTTCTCGCCTCGCTCTCTACAACAAGAAGTCCACCATCACAAGCCGTGAAGTGCAGACAGCAGTACGCCTACTTCTTCCCGGGGAGCTTGCTAAGCATGCAGTCAGCGAAGGCACCAAGGCCGTCACCAAGTACACGACTTCAAAATAGAAATTTGAAGGCTTCAAAACCAAACGGCTCTTTTCAGAGCCAACACAGTTTCCAAAAAGAGATTTGCCAGTCAGCTCAGTTCGCCCGATCAGCCCATTTCTTAGGTTTTACAACAACTAACTTTTTTTATTCTGTTGTGTCCCTTTCACTCTCTCTCTTTTTTTTAATATTCTTTTACCCTTCGTGAGGCGAGGGGAGGTAATGCGATTAAAGTTAATCCCTGAGTCTTGTCGTCGTCGTAAAACATAATTTAATTTATGCCACAGCCTTTGTCAATTGGTCATTTCTTTCAATCTCCGGACGAGTGCTTGCATTTTGTTGAGTGGGTTACTATAAAAAATAAATTAGGATTTCGTCTGTGGGATGTTACAAATATCTAGCAAGAAACCGAGGCCAGTTTTAACCGCCGCGTGAGAGCAACGAATCACTGCCATTGTGCGGAGGCTGGTCGAAAGATCATGGGACTTCTTCGGCGGAATAACAATAAAACGTCTTAAAATGGAGGTAAGAATGTTGCATGTTTCTGTGTTTTATCTAGTGATTCCATTACTTTGAACGACGATGACACAGTTGTAATTTTTTGTTCCCTCGTCCCCGCGTCCAAAATGGATGCGGTGCACCCAACCGTGCGACGGGCACGCCCGTGTCGCGTGATTGGCTACTGGCACGCTTCAGCCAATCCACCAGAACGCTATAACTAGTGTCGTGTTTTCCAAGTGGGTTCATTCACACACCACCTTTACTGCAGAGTACATTCATCTTCTGTCACTATACTGTCAAGATGACTGGGCGAGGAAAGAGCGGCAAAGCAAGAAGCAAGGCCAAGAGCAGGTCCTCCAGGGCGGGACTCCAGTTCCCCGTGGGTCGTGTTCACAGATTTCTGCGTAAGGGCAACTACGCCCAGCGTGTCGGTGCCGGTGCACCGGTTCTACCTTGCGGCAGTGATGGAGTACCTTACCGCGGAGATCTTGGAACTGGCCGGAAACGCTGCACGAGACAACAAGAAGACGAGAATTAATCCCCGCCATCTGCAGCTTGCTATACGCAACGACGAGGAGTTGAACAAGTTGATGAGCGGAGTTACCATCGCGCAGGGTGGTGTCCTTCCACCACATCCAGCAAGTTCTTCTGCCCAAGAAGACCGCCAAAGTGTCAAAGTAAAGAAAAGAACTTACTTTGCATCCACAAACCCAAAAGGCTCTTTTCAGAGCCACCACAACCTTCAAAAAAGAGATTTGTCGCTGCCTGTCTAACTCCACCTCTACCTTCACTCATAGCCGAAATCAATTTCTCTAATTTTTTTTATAAACAATAGAACACTGTTCCAGATAGAATTCCCACTGTGTCCTTTAACTTAAGCATTATGCAAAATTTTACGCACTGCGTATGTGACCGGCCGGCCGGCTGAGTACATTAGCCATACATGTATGTATATGTATTGTCTTAAATGTTGCCTCATGTAGAATGTGAATGACTTATTCACCAAAGGTTACAAAAATGGACAAATAATGGTGCGTTGACATTGTTTCCCGTTTGTTTCTTTTCTTTCTTTCTCTCTTCAATTAACTCCCCGCGGGACCGCATTGATATTGATACATAAGTATTATAAGCGCAAATGAAAACGGTATGACGAATGTTTTCTTTTCTTTCGAATTTTCTTCTTATAACTCATGACGAAATAAACAATAAATCAATGAAATAAAATAGTAATTATTACAAAAAGGGGAAATAAGTAAGTGAAAAAATAACAAAACAAAACAATAACCAAGCAATTAAAGGAAAGCGGCAGGCTGGGACTCGAACCCACGATCTATTACTTTCTACATGTGCTCTCTAACCACTCGGCCACGGAGCTTACTGACAAACTGAAGTATTTCCCCGCCCCTAATGTGGGACCCATTGGCAGGGCCTGAGAAATACCCAGATGGGAAACGCCGAGGCGCGATGACCGGGAGTGTGAAGGGCGCCATCTGCTTGTGCGTGCATTGTATAACTATGCACGCATA